GAATTTGGAAAAACAAATTCATGGAATTCACCTGCCAGGTTTTTGGGTGGAATGCCAGAATTTACCAGAATTTGGCTTTTTTTTTTTTTTTTTTTGTTTCCCCTAAATTTCTATCCCACCCTTTAAAATGGGGGTTTTGGCACCAACTTTAGAGCCAGGAAAATTCAAATTTCTCCTCTCAGGGTGAGCTCTGAACAAAGACAGAACCAAGAGGGAAAAAAAATCTATGGAAAAACCACTTGGGTCTGCTTTTATTTCATTTATTTGATTTTTTAACTTTTTTTTTTTTTTTTTAAAATGACAGGATTTTGGGCTGCCTTTTTGGTCTCATTGGAAATATGCTTTTGAAATGTCACACTCTAAATTTGAATTCCTTAGAGTTTTGTTTTTTCTTTTTTTTTTTTTTTTTTTAAATAACAATTCCCAACCTGTGACATTCCTGTGGAAAATCCAGGGTTGAATATTCCCTGGGGGTGTTCCCTGGGTGCCAAAATTCCCGATTTTTTTGGGGTCCAAATTGGGACTCCTGGTGGGAAATGCTGGGCTGGGATGGGAGGGAGGGATCTGGGAGCCTCCCCAGTCCAAATTTTGGGAATGGGATTCCCAGCTGGATGTTCCAGCTCCAGAGGGATGGAGATGATTTTCAGGAATGAAGTCAAGAAACAGCAAAAAAAAAAAAAAAAAAACCAAAAAAAACCACCCCAAAACAAAAGCAAACCGACAACTGAAGAGAAATAAATTTAAAATCTCATTCTGCTTTTGCTTTTGGGGCTTGGAAATGCCTTAAACCAGGATTTTTGTGTCCTCGTGGGGGAGCATTTGGAATTTCCAGCAGCACCCTGGGCTTTATTTTTAATAACATTTACACCACAAAATGTGCAAAAAAACCCCCAAAAAACCAAAAAAACAACAACAAAAAAAAACCACACGCACACACAAAAAAAAAAAAGGCATCGAGGTTGTTTATTTTCCGGATTTGATTTTTTTTTTTTTTTTGGGCTTTTTTTTTTTTTTTTAATTATTATTATTTTAATTTAAACCCCCGTGGAGAGGGTGAATTCCTGACTTTGGGACCTGCTGGCTGAATTCTGAATTCTGAATTCTGAAGGTAGAGGAGCAGCATGATGATGTAACCCATTACTAACTCGTGTCTTTCGTCAAATCACCCAGAAATAAAGTTTGGAAACAATTAAAGAGGTTTTTAAGGGGCCTGGTGCTTCTTTTATTTCCTCCTGGAATAAGGGAAAATCCTGCTTTGGGTTTTGTTTTTTGGGGTTTTTTTTGGTGCTGTTTGCTGGGCACAGGGGGGTGAAGGAGAGTGGCTCCTAAATTCAGTTTTCCCGAAAATTCCTTGATAAAAATATTTCTAAGTTTGATAAAAATATTTCTAGGTTTGATAAAAACATTTCCAGGTTTGATAAAAATATTTTCAGGTTTGATAAAAG